GGGGGGGGAGGGGTTTGTGCGGGGAGAAGGGTGCAACAATGAATGAATGGAATTCCAAAATCTCTGTAGATGTTCACTCAAATTTTTGTAACTAAATGCCACATTTTCTTTGTTTAGTAACAAGCCATTGATGGTTATTCATCACTTGGAGAATTGTAAATACAGCCAAGGTAATTTCAGTTCCTAATGTCTTAGACACAGTGACTGCAGCAATGGGGCTTGAGTGTGTTGGAGATTGTGAGGATGGCACAGAATAGGACAATGTTCAGATCAGTTGTACATAGGTTCACTAGGAGTCATTTTTTACTCAACAGAACCTAACAACTTCTTAGTGTATCCCCAGTATGAAGAAGAAAGTGGCCTAATAGAGTTAGGAAACATTTAGAATATTCTGAAGCAATGCTTAGTTTTGTTTAAAAACAACAACACAACCAGACCTACCAGAATACCACTTTTAAGATGCTTAGGTATTACAGTTAGTTAGTGATATTAAGTATATTTCTATTGTATTGTTGCTTAGAATTCAATATCTTCCAAAAAAAGTGTGGGGAAACTTGCTGAAAGATTAACTTGTTTTAATCAATTTATTAGCAAATTATTTACATAAAATTATAAAATTAATTGATTCATTAATGAGGGTATCCTTTGGTGTCTGTGTGGGCAGATCACTGAAGAACAATGAGGGGCAAATGTAATTTGTTGAATTCATAAATCGAAACAAAGTGTGAGTTCTATTTTTGCCATGTCGTCTTAAAGATATCTTGATCTTCAAAACTATTATTATCTCTTTCTCCACAGCACTGAAAAAAGTATTTGCTCAAAATGAGGAAGTACAAGAAATGGCTCAGAATAATTTCATTATGCTGAATCTCATGGTACTTCTCCTCTTAAAGTTTTCCTAGTATCGCAATTCTAATATCATGTAGTTAGTATCATGGATTGCCAAAAGAACAATAGATATGTCTTGGAGGAAGTGCAGCCAGAGAGCTCCTTGGAGACAAAGATGATAAAACATTGTCTCACATACTTCATACATGTTGCTTGGAGAGCCTAGTCCTTGGAGAGGGACATCATGCTTGGGAAGGTGGAGGGACAGAGAAAGAGAAGAACCTCAACCAGGTGGATTGCTTCAGTGACTAAAAATGGGCTCAAGTGTGTCAGAGATTGTGAGGCTGGCACAGGATAGAACAGGGTTCTTCATAGGGTCATATGTGTTGAACTTAATTCAATAGTACCTAACAACAGTATCATAGTTCAGTGGGAAATTCTATTCCTTTGCTTTATATTTTCAAAATACAAAGAGCTAAGTCCCAGTAGATATAGAGTGTTAGATAAAGCTATAATGGTAAAAAAAAATTACAATTTTGTGAAAATCTACTTTCAAATAATTTCTAAATTAGTCTTTAAGAGAAATCTAATTCAATAAAATTTCTTTTTCTCCTTCCCTACTAGCATGAGACCAATGATAAGAATTTGTCACCTGATGGACAATATGTACCTAGAATTATGTTTGTAGGTAGGTATGTTATTTTATTTTTATAATTTAGTATAAATTAGGCCCATTTAGGTCAGATTTATACAAGTTAGTAGAGTGATTTGTATTTTTACTTTTTAAAAATACAGGCTCAAAGTTTGTTTTTAAAGAGAAGTAATTACTAACTCACTTATTTGTAAACAGCTTTTTTCCTAATTAACATTACTATCATTTGTAAAATTTCATTGACTTGTGATAAAAAATCAGTTACAAATTGTTACAATTATTACAATACACTTTCTGTACACGTCCACATCTCCAAAATGGATGTACAGAGGCATACACAATGAATTCCCTGTTAAAGTATTAACTCATTATGAATTCACATACTTGAGAACTGATTTTGCTTCTAAATTGGCTTAACTTTTTTTTTTTAGAAGGAGAGGCAAGTAAAATTGTAAGGACAATTTAAAGATTACTTCAGTGAGGTTGGTTGCTTTTCTTGGCAGATCCCTCTTTGACAGTCAGAGCTGATTTAATTGGAAGATATGCAAACAGACTGTACACATATGAACCTCAGGATTTACCAGAATGTAAGTGCTCACAAATTACCTTGAACAGTGATAATAGCTGATTGTTGTCTGTTACAAAGGTCAGTAGTGCCAGACCCTGCCTCTGAAAGTGCAACGTACAAGCAAACCTGAATGACAGGGTGGTGATGGTACAAGTCTTTATAATATAGATTCCTTTTTCCCACCTAACCGCAAATCAGTATCTCTGGGGCACCTTAGAATCTTAACAGAAATGCCAAGTGATTCTTAAGATAGCTAAAATTTGAGAACATTAAAAAATGTTGACAATTCTAGTGGTGTAATAATCCCTAGCAAGTTGTGCTGGTAACCCAAAGCCTTCATCTCTTTTTGCCATTCACTATCATCTCCAAGGGAGAAAGACGGCCAGTCTTCTCCTGTAAAGAGTTACAGCCTCAGAAACTCACGGAAGTGTACTTAGAACCAGAACCTATTCTACAGGAATGAGTTGAGTTGGAAAAGAGTATAGTTAAACTTGTCAAAGCTGGCATAGCATAAGGTGGAAGCCTATCAGAAAAGAAAAATTAAAATATTTCCCATTCATAGCAATAAAAATGTGAAAAGACTATACCCTATAAAAGGTGGACCCAGAAAAATAAGGCATACTCATTAAGTTTAACGTCTCATAAGTTTTAGTGTGATACAACCTGGAAGTAAAGAATCCTAAAAAAAAAGTTCATTTCCTTGGTGTAAAAAAAAAATCAATGTAATTTCTTCAAATTTATGAGAAATGTTTTTGTCCTCTGTTGATGACTCTCTAAAGTAAGGAATTGGCATCTTACTTTTTTAGTTTTTACATTTACTGGTAGCAGAGTCCACATGGAATTGCTATGATGACTCAGAGGTCACATTTCTGGGGCAATTCAAATCGACCAGCATCTCCCTTCCATATAGTTTGTAACCCCGGAAACCCAATGCAGCATCAGCTGTGAGTCCGTTCATACAATGAGTATCAATTGTATTTAATAACTATGATTGTCACATCCAAGGAAACCAAAAGAAAATGATCAAGTAAAAGATAGACATCAAACACTTCTAAAATCCTTCCGATAAATATTAAAAGGTAGATCAACCATCTCTGTGTAGTCTAATCCCTAAATTTAGCTGAATATACTTTATGTTTTCATAGCTATTCATTAACATAGGTCAATTTCTGATGCTGGGAGTTAATAGATTATAATGTTTGAAACTTTTATGTACTGATAAAAAAATTATCTCTTGTTTCAGTGATTGAAAACATGAAGAAAGCACTAAGACTTATTCAATCGGAGTTATAAGACATGATGGCTCACTCAAATGAAAAAAGGATGGAGGAAGAGATAACAGGAGAAGTCCCTTAATCTCTAAGATGTCAGAGGAAATCCTGGTTTATTGGCTAATACTAAATGTGTAATACATAGATTTTGTAACACTAACATTTATATTTTTTTAAAGGTAACTTCAATACTCTTACTGTAAATTGATATAATCGTAGGTAGTAAATAGTTATTTCAATAAATCAGTCATCAAACTGAAACATGAGAAAGTCGCAGTTCGATTTCTGTCTGCACCAATAACAGAGAGAATGTGAGACAGAGCCTCAGTGAGAAGGACTGAATGCAACAGTGGGTTCAAGCTTAGTGTTGATTGTGAA